GTCAGCAAGGTGACCATAACATCGAGTTAAAGATGAGAAAAAATCCTCTCTCAGTTGACCTTATCTTTAAAGACCTCACTTACATTGTGCCTGAGGCTGTCATGTCAAATTTCACGCTTCATCGCTTCTCCATTGTGTTGTGTTTGTTTTGGGGAATAGCATTCAGCAGGGTGCTTCAACTCCAAGCCAAAATCAACCTTGTGACTTTATCATAAGACCGAGAATCATGTACCATACCTCAGATAACCATCGCCAGATACCTGATACCTATAATTATCCCAGTTTGGAATACATACCATTAACAGAATCCAGAAACAGGAAATCCTGATTAAAATACACTCATTGTATGTAGCAGCACATTCATAATCGAATGTTTTAATATTAGTTCTATACCAAATTAGTGAAAAAGAAAAATTGATAAACGGTATCTAGTTCAGATTGTATTCAATCCTTATATTGTCTCAGTATATGTTAAGCCATACTTCTTCAATGAAATATAATGGATAATATGGAATTAATAAGCGGAAAAATCAGATATTACGAATTTTCTGTTGACCTGACTTTAAAGCCATCGGCCAACTGGTATCAGACCCTGGGATGTTCATGGTTCACTACCCCTTCATTGTGTTGTGTTTACTCAAGGATTGGCAGCCAGCGGGATACTTCCTTTTCGAGCCAAAATCGACCGTAGGGCGTTGTCATAGGGGCGAGAATAGTGCATATTTCTTGAGATATCCATCAACAGGTACCTATAATTGTCACTGTCGGTAGTAACAGAGCAAACAGCCAATACACTGCAGCTGCATGTTCATAACAAAATCGCAGAATATCAATCGGTGCATTTATAGACACAGAAATGCATGCGCACACTTACACAATGTTTGTGTATCCAAGTAGGTATTTAAATAACGTTTAATTATGCATGGCCTCTCACAGCAATTTAAACTTGCTCATAGTAGCCTATAGAAATGAACTTTGTGTCGTGCTTAAGGAAGCATTAATGAGGCAATGTTCTTAAGATTGGTTTCAAATATCATCGTCCACCAAATCTTTGAACCCGCTTGTGACCTGACAATCGAGTACCAAAAATTATTTCAGAATTTGCCGCCTATTTATTGCATTCCCTTAAGGATTTCCAGTCAGCGGAAACATATTCAATTCAAGTATAGCTAAAGGCCTATGAAGTTCTCGATACAGGGCACTTGAAAACGCTTTAAAAAGATGCTTCCGCTCTTCTCTCAACACAAAGTGGCACGAACAGGAATCACATTGCTGATTTTTTCCTTTCATGTTCTACTTTCATGCACTTAAGCCGTTTCATTGACTGGATGAAAACCAGTATCCATTGACGGAAGATGCACTGATTTCAGACTGTAGGCATGACTTATTTTCGTCAAATATCTAAGAATCTCTGCGCTGATATCCTATGAGGATGTATAAGTAAACTCATTGTTATAAATAATCTTTGTTATTTGATTATACTATAAATAACTTTGATTTTGTTACTTGCAGTACCAGAGTGTGAAGAATGATATAAACTGTACATATACTAAACGCACCCGACACTGTAGCCAGAATTTGCTGCTCATTGCATTTCAACTATTGGCAATTTCCTCTATTTCTGCTGACCTTAGAGTCATCAATCACTATGTAGCTGCGCCTGTCATGCCAGATTTTGCACTTCACCACATTACCATTGTGTTAAGTTTACCTTTGGGATTAGCTATCAGTGGGAGGCCTCAACTTCGAGCTTAAATCAACCTTATGACAATCTCACAAGGACAGAAATTGTGCGCCTTTCCTGCGATACCATTTCCTGGGACCTGACACCTATACTTATCACAGTAAGGGGTCTAGCGTATGTATATCATTAACGGGAGTGAGATGTTATCATTAAATTGGATCTTTATATCAATAACTTACATTAATTTAACTTCGGAATAATAAGTTATGTTTACTTATATGAAGCATTGCTATAAAAGAAATGTTTTACAATGTTTTACGCTGAACTTTGTCATCACTAATTTGCTGGGGGAAATCATGAACGATACGCTGCTTGTTTGTTTGTTTATTTTCGTCTTAGACCCTAGCTTACAAGTTTACCCTTCTTGCACCAGTCACTAAGGTATAAAATAAATCATTGGTCATTTCCCTGTAAAATACATAATGATGGCCGTGACCTTACGTGTAGCAGCGGGGTCCGAACAGGAAGGAGGCGAGCCCAGATCTCCCGGTAATGGTACTACCCTAAAAGTACCAGGGGGTATCAGCGCCCTCTACCGGGGTATCGTGTACTCTCGTGGACACTCGTGAGTGGCTGCATTGTCACGGTTTATGACGTCACTAATGACGTAGCAAAACACTAGTGTGACGTCACTAGCAGACGCCATACAATTTTTCGACTTAAACTGAGCATAGGAGTGGTAATTTTATTAGCACGTACGTGGCTAAGCCCACGTACGTTGCACACATGCTTACGGGCGGCACCCCGCATCTCCATCACGGAAGACAAACATATGAGGATAAAAACTCTTGACAGAAGGATAAATAAAACAATATCAGTGCCCATTTTCCGTTGGGTTCCTTGACTGACTCGTGCCATGGACTTGTCATACCAAGAAGGGGGGGGGGTACCGTGGTAGGACAAAGTGGGCGGATAGTCCCACTACATATGTATATATGTTAATTATATATGATATATGTTATGTATATGTATTTATACACACACACACACACACACACACACACACACACATATATATATATATATATATATTATATATATATATATATATATATATATTATATATGATATATGTTATGTATATACATATATATATATATATATATATATATATTATATTATATCTAATATATTATATGCACGAAAAGAAAAACGATAGTAGCTTTTAAAATCATTTCCTATAGCACACAATATTACAGCGCATGTTAACTCCATTAGATGTCAGCAAGGTGACCTTAATATCGAGTTTAAAGATGAGAAAAGAAATCCTCTCTCTGCTGACTTTACCTTTAAAGACATGTCAATTTTCACGCTTCATCGCCTCTCCATTGTGTTGTGTTTGTTTTGGGGAAAAGCTTTCAGGAGGGTGCTTATATTCCAAGCCAAAATCAACCTTGTGACCTTGTCATAAGGCTGAGAATCGTGTACCATACCTCAGATAACCATCGCCAGATACCTGATACCTATAATTATCCCAGTTGGGGATGCATATCATTAAAGGAAACCGGAAATAGGAAATCCTGACTAAAATACACTCACTATATGTAGCACCACATCCATTGTGTTAAGAATTAGATAAAATGTACATGTACGAAACGCACCCGACACTGTGGCCATAATTTGCTGCTCATTACATTTACACTATTTGTAATTTCCTCCATTTCTGCTGACCTTAGAGTCATCAATCACTAGGTAGCTGCGCCTGTCATGTCAGATTTTACACTTTACCACATTACCATTGTGTTCTGTTTACTTTTGAGATTAGCAGTGACTGGGAGGCCTCCACTTCAAGCCAAAATCGACCTTATGACTATCTCATAAGGACCAAAATCGCGCGTCTTTCCTGCGATACCATTTCTTAACTGATGACCATTAAATTGCATCTTCATATCAATAACTTACATTAATTTAACTTCGGAATAATAAACTATGATTATGATTATTTATAGACATTATTGCTGTAATAGAAATTTGTTTTAAATTGTATAAATAAATATAATATATGTGCTGCTAAGATTTTATGCAAATTGTTTATATAAAGGGAACAAAGTAGCAATCAATTTGTAGGTTGCAATCTACTTGTTTATTAACACAGCTTACTTACTGCAGTTTGGGTTTCTTTTAAATTCATTCATTGTATTCAGGGAATTGCGAGTTCATTTCAAACCAAAATCTGTGGTTTGTACACACACACACACATATATATATATATATTATTTATTATATATTTATATTTATTAAATATAATAATATATATATATATATATATATATATATATATATATATATATAATATATTATATGTATGTATCATATATATTATATATACACATAAACAAGCAGGATGTGTTATGCATGAAAAGAAAAAGGTTGTAACATTTAAATTCATTTCCTGTAGCACAAATATTACAGCGCATGTTAACCACATTAGATGTCAGCAAGGTCACCTTAATATCGAGTTTAAAGATGAGAAAAGAAATCCTCTCTCTGCTGACCTTACCTTTAAAGACCTCAGTTACGTTGTGTCTGAGGCTGTCATGTCATGTCAAATTTCATGCTTCATCGCCTCTCCATTGTCTTGTGTTTATTTTGGGGAAGAACTTTCAGCAGGGTGCTTCTATTCCAAGCCAAAATCAACCTTGTGACCTTGTCATAAGGCCGAGAATCATGTACCATACCTCAGATAACCATCGCTAGATACCTGATACCTATAATTATCCCAGTTGGGGATACATACCATTAACAGAAACCAGAAGCAGGAAATCCTGACTAAAATACACTCATTGTATGTAGCAGCACATTCATAATCGAATGTTTTAATACTATAAATTTGTGAAAAAGAAAAATTGATATACGGTATCTAGTTCAGATTGTATACAATCCTAATATTGTCTCAATTAGTACTTGTAACTCTATAAATGAAGCTATACTTCTTCAATGAAATATAACCGATAATATAGAATTAAAAAGCGGAAAAATCATATATTACGAATTTCCTGTTGACCTGACTTTAAAGCCATCGGCCAACTGGTATCAGACCCTGGGATGTTCATGGTTCACTACCCCTTCATTGTGTTGTGTTTACTCAAGGATTAGCAGCCAGCGGGATACTTCCTTTTCGAGCCAAAATCGACCGTAGGGCGTTGTCATAGGGGCGAGAATAGTGCATATTTCTTGAGATATCCATCAACAGGTACCTATAATTGTCACTGTCGGTAGTAACAGAGCAAACAGCCAATACACTGCAGCTGCATATTCATAACAAAATCCCAGAATATCAATCGGTGCATTTATAGACACAGAAATGCATGCACACACTTACACAATGTATGTGTATCCAAGTAGGTATTTAAATAACGTTTGATTATGCATGGCCTCTCACAGCAATTTAAACTTGTCATAGTAGCTATAGAAATGAACTTTGTGTCGTGCTTAAGGAAGCATTAATGAGGCAATGTTCTTAAGATTGGTTTCAAATATCATCGTCAGGTCAGTGATAATTATAAAAACTTCAAACTAATAATGATCATAACACCAATCTTTGAACTCGCTTGTGACCTGACAACCGAGTTCCAAAATCATTTCAGAATTTGCCGCCTATTTATTGCATTCCCTTAAGGATTTCCAGTCAGCGGAAACATATTCAATTCAAGTATAGCTAAAGGCCTATGATGTTCTCGATACAGGGCACTTGAAAACGCTTTAAAAAGATGCTTCCACTCTTCTCTCAACACAAAGTGGCACGAACAGGAATCACATTGCTGATTTTTTCCCTTTATGTTCTACTTTCATGCACTTAAGCCGTTTCATTGACTGGATGGAAACCAGTATTCAGTGACGGAAGATGCACTGATTTCAGACTGTAGGCATGACTTATTTTCGTCAAATATCCAAGAATCTGCGCTAATATCCTTGCGCTAATATTCTATGAGGATGTATAAGTAAACCCATTGTTATGAATCATCTTTGTTATTTGATTATACTATAAATGACTTTTATTTTATTACTCGCGGTACCGTGTTAAGAAAGATATAAACTGTTCATTTACTAAATGTATACAACATTCTGGCCATAATTTCTTGTTCACTGCATTTAAACTATTGGTAATTTCTTCTAATTCTGCTGACATTAGAGTCATCAATCACTAGGTAGCTGCGCCTGTCACGTCAGATTTTACACTTCAACACATTACCATTGTTTGAAGTTTACCTTTGAGATTAGCTGTCAGTGGGAGGCCTCCACTTCGGGCCAAAATCGACCTAATGACGATCTCATAAGGACCAAAATCGCGCGTCTTTCCTGCGATACATTACTTATCACAGGGGTTTAGCGTACGGATATCATTAACGGGAATAGGATGTTATACTTGACATGATAATTAAATTGCATCTTCACATGAATAATTTGCATTGATTTAATTTAGGAAGAATAAACTATAATTATGATAATTTATTTTGGGTATTGTTATAAAAGAAATTAAATTTGAATTGTATAAATAAATATGATGGTATCTGTGCTGCTTAGATTTCCTGCAAGTTGTTGACTATATGAAGGCACCAAGTAGGCACACACACACACACACACACACACACACACACACACACCACCACACACACACACACACACACACACACACACACACACACACACACACACACACACACATATATAGATATGCATATATATATACATATATAAAATGCGTAATTGTATATATATATGTATGTATCTATATGTATGTATGTGTATGTATGTATAGTGTATATATAATATATATATATATATTATTATATATATATATGTATATAATATATGTATTATATATATATATATATATATATATATATATATATATATATATGTGTATATATATATTATTATATATATATAATATATCTATGTATATACACATATAATTATATTATATATAATATATATTATATATATTATATATATATATATATATATATATATAACATATTACACATAGGTGTTTGTACACCTACTATATATATATATATATATATATAATATATATATATATATATTATATATATATATGTGTGTGTGTGTGTGTGTGTGTGTGGTGTGTGTGTGTTCATAATATAAGATATATATATATATTATATTTTAGCTATTATATATACCTATATATAATATAATTTATATAAATAATGTATGTATGTATATATATATATATGTGTGTGTGTATATATATATATCTATATATATATATATAATGTGATATTAATATGTATGTATTATATATATATATATAATTTATGGAATGAATATATATATATATATATATATATATATATATATATATATATATATTATATATATATATATATATATATATAGTATATATAATAATTATATATATATATATATATATTAATATATATATATATATATGATAAAATTATATTAAGACTACAAAACAGTTTTTGTAGCATCCCGAAAGAACATGTTAGATATTATGGTCCCTACAAAACACCATTACAGGTTAGCACTGACATACAAACTCCCCGGAGATGATGTGATAGAGAAAACCAGAAATGAACAGATTCTCTATTCTCTAGACTTGGGGACGTCTTGAGTAAATGTTAACAATTTTCTTTCTAACTCTAAATGGTTTATGTAACACATTTTTGTAATACTAATACTATGAATAATAATACAGGAATATGGTTTTATTTCAACGCATTCAGCGTAATGATCCTTAGTTACTTTCAGATTCCCCAGTAGTTTAA